GTCGCAAATTAACTGTATTTTGCAGGTGAAACAAAGCAGCCAATTATGCACAGCAGTGTCCCACAAACAGTTGTGGATTGAGTGGCCAAATTAAAATATATATTATTTTGGCAGGATTATTATCCCCAGAAAAATAATTCGCCAATTGAATAACAACTGTGTTCCTACTTACTGCTAGATAAACGTGGGGAGTAAGGAAACTTGCCTAAGGTTTCACATTGCCCGGGAATCGAACTTGGATCTTCTCACTTGCTAACGCATTAATCACTAGGCTACAAGAATCCATTTTAAAAGCAGCTTGATGTTGTTGCCAGGTGCACCCTGGAAGGGGAGGCCAGTCACTGGAGAAAGGGAATCAGCTCCTGTTAACCAGGCTTCACTTCCCAATTTGATCTAAGATACGAGCCCAGTCAGAGCAATTCGACGGAACACAACACTTTAATTCTCTTAAATTTACTCCTTTACGTTTGTCGAACACACTGCCATTTGCCCAATGCTAATACCAACCAAGAAACTTTCAATCATAATGAACTACAAGAAAAATATCTGTCCCTCAGCACCTGGAACCCATCTTGTGAACTCCGGTTCACCTCTGGCTCAGTAGTGTGTTTTTTTTTCTAATCTTCTTCACAACTTTTTAACTTTAATTCTTGTTTTAACCTTTATCCCACTCACTTCTCGCCCATCTCTTGCTACAATCTCATTTCACAATACCTCACATTGTGACTGTGGCATGGATGGATGGATGGGTGGGTGGGTGTTGTGGAGGGATGAGATTGGATGAGCCAAAGGGCTTTCTTCATTAAAAAAAATACAGTCTTGTGATCTTGTGATCTTACCCAGGGCCAAAAGTACTGCCAACAGGACCAGGCATCCAGCCAACCAACAATAGGTCAAAAGCGAATTTGTATCACGCACACAAAAAAATAATTAAATCACACGCTTGATGTCAAGGCGGGTAACCTGGCTTCGCTTCCACCAGAATGACCCATTTACAGTCACTGTGTAACGTTGCCATCAAAACGACTGAATAAATCACAAATCAGACCCGCAAACTACGTTGCTAATTAGCCCAACCGGAGAAGGTTAAAAATAATCGCAGAAGTCCATCTGTTATGATGTTAAAAAGCGAAACACGAAGAGCTTGAGAAGCCCTAATCCAAAAATAACCCATTTCAGTTGTCGCTCCTAATCTGCATATTAATTAATGGCTAATAAGAGTATTTCTCCCGGGGTTATTTGCAGTCTTTTTTTTATAAAACAGAAGCACAGGAGGGTTTAGCTAGTGCGTCATCATCCAGTCTGCAACAACATTCCTGATAAAGTCAGCCAGCTGTGGTAAGGGGGTGTGTGTGTGGGGGGGGTGTAATTTACTGCTAAATCCAACCTGATATTCTTCAATGCGACTCGCTGATTCCCTATCGACCAGTCCGCTCCCTCCACTCAACGGGCTCCAGCCTGCTCCACGTGCCCCACCTTGCCCACGGCTGTTGGTCTTTCAGCTCCCGACATGAAAGCTTCATCCTCCCGACATGAAAGGCGCTGTATCAAATGCAAGGTTTTTATAATACGGATTCATAGCTCTGTGATGGACGGACCGAGTAAAGTTCATCAATGGTTTCAGATCTGCCTCCCCAAAGCCTGAACAGTGATCTGTTAATGTCATAGCCTGTTCATCATTTAGTGCAACAGCTTCTCAAATAATCCTGAGAAATGTCATTATCTGAACTGATGTTTCTTCTGCGCTGGTGACAAGATAAATACTTTAACGGATCTATATTGGGATCTACATTGCACAAACCCGGTGAAGGATTGTGCTGCTCAAAGTCTTGTTGTAAGAAAAGGATTTAAAGGAGCCACTTCCCTTTCCCACCTGACAATCTCCCCGATCCCCTCACCTATCTTTCCTCTTCTGAAGGTGCTTTGACTCGTTTAGTGGGCTAAGGTTGCTTGGTTGTTCTTTGGCACTGCATCTAAGTAGCTACAGTCATTTTTTTGTGGTCAGCCGTGTGTCTGACACTTGCAGAAACCCATTACTGTGTTTAAGAGTATCCAAACCAAGATGAGATTTCCATGGATCCCACCAACACATGGAAATCCCACAGGTAGATTGCTGCAATGGAATGCGGGCTCTCTCCCTGGAGGGTGGCATCCTGCTTACCTAATTCCAGAAAGTATTAGGTGCAGGTTGGCAAGAACCAAGGATTGGGGACCCCAAAGTGTGCGTTGGGGTAACTGCTGGAGTCTAACCAGCTAAAACCACATGGTTTGCTATTGATGATAATAATAATAATAACAATCCTTGCATTTGATATAGCGCTTTTCACGTCTTCTCAACGTCTCAAAGCGCTTCACAGAATAGACTGTAAAGTGAATTGACTGCATATTTGTGGGCAAAATGTGGCAGCCAATTGCGCACAGCAGCGTCCCACAAACAGTCATGGATTGAAAATGACCAATTTATTATTGTTTTGTTTTGGAGGGATTTATTAGGCGTGTGGAGTTAGAAAACTTGCCCAAGGTTTCGCCCTACCTGGAATTGAACCCAGGTGTCTCGCTTGCAAGGCCAGTGCTCTAAACATTGAGCTACAGGACTCCTGATATCGCTGTCTGGCAAGCTCCTGATATCGCTGTCCAGTTGCTTGTCCAGCTAGGACCCACCCTACCTGTTAGGGCTTTGGCTTGCAGGATTAACAGGTGCTGAGTGAGATGACTCCCTGCCCCTAGTGATGATTTAGTGAGGAGGTCAGACCATATACCAGTCGGGTCCAAATTTTATTCCCCACTTGGTACTGAGTGATTGATAAACCTCAGTGACTTGGGTTAAGGTGAGGAAAATCAGCCAAGGATAGAAACCCAGCACTGTTATGATCAATATGGTTCAATACTACTTCCTCATTGGGGATTTAGGTACTGAGCCATAATGGGCTGAGGCCCTATCCCAACACCACCCTCCCCAAGTCAACATAAGAGAAACTCTCTAAAAGTGTGAAAGCCAAATTGCCGAATAAGAAGGCATTCAGACTGCAATGCGCTTAGAATCCTCGGGGGAAAATCCGGGAAACAGATGTTCTCTCCAGTTCTTCCTGCTGCTCATTCTCTGATCCACCTGCCCCCAGTTCTACTACAAACTATAATCAGGAATCCTGCAAAACAATGTTTTGGTTAAATAAGAGCAAACTAGGACTTGATATAACAATAAATAATAATAATAATAATCCTTGCATTTGATATAGCACCTTATCACGTTGGTGAGGCAGCTCAAAGCGCGTCACAGAATATATATTGTAAAGTGAAGTGACTGTGTATTTTGTGGGCGATATGGAGGTCAACCCCACAACCTTCTGACCCAGCAACTGAGCCAGATTACCACATGCGCTTTATCAAAGATTTATAAAGGATGCACAGGATAAAAACAGGCCACTCGACCTGTTTCTGCGGAAATATTTGGAAATCCCTGACCGTCCAGCACATTGGGACGTCCACCCGATGTGAAAAGTGCTGTGCAAAAGTAATTTGTCATGGGTGGTGGTGTTGACGATCCCTTCTTTCTTACAAACACTTACACTTACAAACACCGTTACCAAAGTGTCAAAGCAATTACAGGGGATTTATTTGGAGGCCCGAGATTCACCTACAGACACAAAGAAGTGCATTGATTGCAGCTTCAGGTAAAACCTTCCATTCCCTTGCAGACTGACTCCTGCCGTCCTTGGCCAAGCTCTGTGCTGTGTGACCTCTGGGCTGTGCTGCGTTCTCCACGCGGTAGCGGTAGCTTTGGTTTTGAGAACAACATCGTCTCCCAGTGGCAAAACTGATGAAGTTCACACACGGTTATCAAACTACTAAATCTAAGGCATAAATAACACAATCCTGGCATTTGATGTCGGGCCTCGTCACGTCTTCGAGACCGTCTCAAAGCGCTTCACAGGATATACTGCAAAGTGAATTGACCGTATATTTGTGGGCGAAACGCGGCAGCCATTTGCGCACCGCAGTGAGCGTCCCACAAACATTCGTGGATTGAATGAACAAATAATTTTTTTTGATATATTTAAGAGCTCCGAGATGTTACCCCCGTGAAGAGTGCTGTATAAATGCAACTTTATAAATAAAGTTGTTTTTTTTTATTATTGATTGATTGACTGATAAACAGCCGTGTGGTTGATTAAAACTAATGCGTGGTATTATTATCATTATTATTATTGATACACGGTGTGATTAACAGGCAGCGCGAGTGACGTCTGTGCCCGCCGCGTTTTGCCCACGAGAAGCACGGGGAGTCACTCCGCTTTGCAGTGTGTCCCGTGAAGCTCTTCGCGATAAGGCGCTGCGTCAAATGCAAGGATCAGTATTATTATTGAGTGAGTGAGTGAGTGGTTGAGTGAGTGGTTCATTGATTGATTGATTGAGTGAGTGAGTGAGTGAGTGAGTGATTGAGTGATTGAGTGATTGAGTGATTGATTGAGTGAGTGAGTGGTTGATTGAGTGAGTGAGTGAGTGAGTGAGTGAGTGGTTGATTGATTGATTGATTGAGTGAGTGAGTGAGTGAGTGAGTGAGTGAGTGAGTGATTGATTGATTGATTGAGTGAGTGAGTGAGTGAGTGGTTGGTTGATTGATTGAGTGAGTGAGTGAGTGAGTGGTTGGTTGATTGATTGAGTGAGTGAGTGAGTGAGTGGTTGGTTGATTGATTGATTGAGTGAGTGGTTGATTGACTGAGTGGTTGATTGATTGATTGATTGAGTGAGTGAGTGATCGAGGGCACAGACTGTGTGTGATTGACAGCGGTGCGATTGATGGACAGGCGCCGGCCCCGCCCCTCCCTCCCCCGCCCCGCCCCCCGGTGGGGGGTGGGCTGAGATCTCGCGAGAGTGAGGGAGTGTGAGTGGCGGCGGCGGAGCGCGAGCGGCTCTGAGTTTATTTTATTTACTTTTTTTTTCACAGCGCTATTCAGACAAGAAAGCGGCGGTTTTCCCCCCCGACCCCCCCCCGACCCCCTCCCGCCCACACACCACAGCAAACACATCACCCGACGCCGGGCCCGGAATCAGAGGTAAGCGGCAGCGGAGCGGCCTCCGAGAAGGGCTCCAGCGCGGCCTTAGGCCCCGAGGCCCCGACACTCGCCTCACAGTCAAACAGCTCCACTCCCCCCCACACCCCGACCCCCCCCTCACACACACACCCCCACACACACACCCACACCCCCCCCACACCCCGACCCCCCCACACCCCGACCCCCCCACACACACACACCCCCACACCCCGACCCCCCACACCCCGACCCCCCCACACCCCGACCCCCCCACACCCCGACCCCCCCACACCCCGACCCCCCCCACACCCCGACCCCCCCCACACCCCGACCCCCCCCACACCCCGACCCCCCCACACCCCGACCCCCCCCCCCCCACACCCCGACCCCCCCCACACACACACTCCCCCACACACACCCCGACCCCCCCCATACACACACACCCCGACCCCCCCACACAAACACACACCCCGACCCCCCCACACACACACTCCCCCACACCCCGACCCCCCCCACACACACACTCCCCGACCCCCCCCCACCCCGACCCCCCCCACACCCCCCGACCCCCCCCCACACCCCGACCCCCCCACACCCCGACCCCCCCCCCACACCCCGACCCCCCCACACACACACTCCCCCCACACACACACACTCCCCCCACCCCGACCACCCCCACCCCGACCCCCCCCACACCCCGACCCCCCCACACCCCGACCCCCCCCCCACACACACACACTCCCCCCACACCCCGACCCCCCCCCACACCCCGACCCCCCCCACACACCACACTCCCCCCCCACACACACACTCCCCCCACACACACACACTCCCCCCACACACACACTCCCCCCCACCCCGACCCCCCCCCCACACCCCAACCCCCCCCCACACACACACACTCCCCCCCTCACACACACACACTCCCCCACCCCCGCCCCCCCCCCACACCCCGACCCCCTCCCCTCCCGACCCCCACCCCCCCCACCCCTCCCCCCCCCCACACACACACTCCCCCAGCGCACACACACACTCCCCCAACACCGACCCCCCCCCCCCCCAGCCCGACCCCCCCCCCACACACACACACACACTCCCCCCCCCCACCCCGAACCCCCCCCCACACACACTCCCCCCACACCGACCCCCCCCCAGCCCGACCCCCCCCCACACACACACACACTCCCCCCCCCACCCCGAACCCCCCCACACACACTCCCCCCCCACACACTCCCCCCACACACCATCACACACCCCCACACCCCCACACACACACCCGCCCACACATACACTCACCATCACACACACAATACCCCCCCACACACACACCATCACACACATACACACACCATCTCACACACACACTCCCCCCCCCCACCATCATCATCACCCCACCCCCACACACAAACACCATCACACGCTCCCTCCTACACATACATACACACTCCCACACACACTATCACACAAATATATATACACACACACTTTCACATACCCCCCACATACACTCCCACCCCCCACATACACACCATCACACACATATTCGTCCACAAAATGTTCAGTCAATTCACTTTACAGTCTATTCTGTGAAGCGCTTTGAGACGTCTGGAAGACGTGAAAAAACGCTATATCAAATGCAAGGATTATTATTATTATATACACACACCCCCAAACACACCCTCACATACCCACCCCCCCACACACATACACACCCTCCCCACACACACACTCCCACACAAACCCCCACACACACACCATCATACACATACCCCCCCCCACACACACCTATGCACATCCACATCCACTCGCGCACATCCACAACCTGGAGCAGAAAAAAACTGTCAGTGTTAAAATAGCCTATTTGTCCTGCACTTAACAGGCAGTTTCTTAGAAAAAGAAATTATATACTTCACTTTTTTTGTGTGAGCGTCGCACCCACCAATTATGGGTTAGGTGTAGTGCTGCACATCTTAACTCTGGATCTGTTTTCCAGGGTCACTTTCAGGGAAAAAAAGTAATAAAGGTCTAGATTCCATGTCCATTTGCACAAGAACAACTGTATAAATCGCGCCCTCATGTGGCAAAGTCTCGGAGAGCTTAATTTACAACACGTGAGGCTGTTTTTAAAGAACGGCGTTTATATTTTAAAAGAGCCAATATTTTTACGCCCAGAATGTGATTTTCATTGCATATGAGGAGTTCTTGGCTGGACTAACTAAACGGTCATGTCTGTAGATGTCGGATGAGCTGGTGAAGCAGCTGGCCAGCTACAAGGCTCAGCTACAGCAAGTAGAAGCTGCTTTATCTACTGATGCAGACAATGGAGATCTCCTGAAATTACAGAAAGATTTACAGGTTGGTATCTCATTTGTTATATATTTTCAACTAAAAAAAAAACCCAGTTCATAACATACACTACGTGCTACCTATAAATGCAAGCTTTTTAGTGAAACTGAAGTTTTCTTTGAAAAACAAATGAAGTTAAAGTAGTTAAAGCAGAATTATTAAAAACATTGAACGTGATGGCGAGATGGGGCTGGTAACAACAGTGTGACTGTCACCTGACACGTCGAGCTTTATGTCCCAGTAGAAACAAAATGAAACTGCTCAAACATTTGGATTCTGTTTTTGACCTAAGCCGCAGAAGTGCTTCTGGAAAATCGTACTTTTACGTGCTTCTGGAAAACCTTCTATTCGCTGCCCGTCTTCTATATTTGCTTTGTCTGTCAGGACTATTCCAAATCCAGTCTGTTTTGTGTCGACTCGCTCACAATTTTTGGTCCATTGTTCGGTGCAAACGTCCATGTGCTGCCGACAGCACTTTCAGTGTCTTCTCAAACTGGATATCGACATTTTAGACATTCTAAATGTTTTCAAATGGCAAGCAGGCCATCAGTTAGTTTAATCATCATTTCTTTTTTTTTAAAAGAAGTATTAATTTCTGACATCTATTCCCATTGAAACTAAGATCTATATTTAATAGTGAAATTCTTTATATGAATAATAATTCTTGCATTTGATGTAGCGCCTTATCACAACATTGAGATGTCCCAAAGCGCTTCACAAAATGTACTGTAAAGTGAATTTAGTTTATATTTTGTGGGCAAAACGTGGCAGCCACTTGCGCACAGCAGTGTCCCACAAACAGTCGTGGATTGAGTGATCAAATTATTTATTTATTTATTTATTTATTGAAGGGAATCATTACCCCCAGAAAAATGATTCGCCAATCGACTAGCAAATGGGTTACTACTTACTGCTCGGTAAACAGAGGCGCGTGGAGTAAGGAAATTTACCCAACATTTGCCCTGCTCAGGAATCAAACCCAGGTCCTCTCGCTTGCAAAGCGAGTGCTCTACTGTACTGTATTGTACTATATGTACCTACCAAACCAGCACTGTATAATTAGCATCATTTTGTAAAGGAAACTCCACAAAAGTTCCTTATTTAGCTCTTAAATCCCAAATATACAGCAACGTGCTGAACTTTTAACAGAAATTAACTTTCATAAAACTTTCCGAAGTTTCTTGTATATCAACTTGAACTAATAGAGTGACAATTAGTGATTTGTAAGTTCCTGATATTTTATCTCTAACTAAGCATACTGGAATGTAAAGATATTTAAATGCTCATAAAATCTGTTCACTGATTTTTGTTGTATCACTGGAATAAAATAGGGACACACTCCTGTCTCCTGACCTGTTTGGTTTCAGCACATGCCCAAATGCTGAAAAGCAGGCTGGAAAATCTAAACAGCTTTTATTACTATCATTTTAACACAAACCTAAACCGTATTTAAAAATAAAAATACACTTTACCCTTATTGTGTACTTATCTTATCTCTTCGCTTTACTTCCTATTTATTTATTCATTCTCATATGTGTTGGTTTTTTCTCCATAGCAAGTTGCCTTGGCCTATCTTTTAATTGGTACAAAATGATCTTTTGAACTTTGTACTTGGCTCTATTTTGTTTTATCTTCCACTTCCCAGGGCCAGGTTATCTAAACACAACAACTACTTCCATTTACATAGCGCCCTTCACATGGGGTAGCTTCTCAGAGCGGAGCCAGGCGCCGAGGTGGGGGAGGGTGGGAGTTAGTTCCTCACTGTGGTGAAACGTGATCAAAGCAGGATATTTATATTCTTACAAGTATATCTATTGTTATCCTCAGGAACTTGGACAGTGAACTAGTCTGTAGTGTTTGAAGGGTTATTGCAACAAGGTACAGTCTTGAGATTTTGAAACTCGGAGTTTTCCTGATCTCCCCACCTCCACCACCACCCTGTGCTGTCAATTCCCAGTTATACATTATAGCACATAATTAATTTTGGCCGCTCTGCATGTGACACTTTAATCTGGCAGTAAGATCGGGGAAAACCGTGTTGACATTGAACTATGTACTCACACCTTTGCAAGCTAATTGGTTTGACAAAAAGCTGTACGTAGTATTGTGTTAATGAAGGAAGTGACTCTTGAATTTCTGTACTTGCCTGTACAGTACCTACATGGATTTTTTTTCCTCTCCAAGTAACTCATTGATACACACGCATTAAACCCCTGTGCAACGCAGCAAGAGATTCGATGGCAGTTCCTCAGTGAAAACAGAGAAGGCCTGATCACTCTGGGGGGAGCTGCATTGTCATAGATGCCGTCCTTCGGGTGGAGACGATAAACTGACGTCCCATCGGTCTGTTCAGGTGGATCTTAGTGATTCCATAATATACAGTACAACATTACACTCCTATAGCGCCTTTCACGTTGGGGGGAACGTCAGGAATTTGGACCCGAGCTGGGGTTCGGGATCGGGGAGGGTAGGAGCGTGGCCGAAGGCGCAGTGGAAGAGGGGGGTTTTGAGATGCGCCTTGAAGGAGGGGAGGGAGCGAGGCGGGCGGGGGGGGGGTGGTGGGTGGGTTTCAAAAGAGGAAGGGGGGATCTCTCTGTCCTGGCAACATTACCCCTGATAAAATTTGTCATTCACTTCTTGGCTGTTTGTGGAACCTTGCTACATGCAAGTTGGCTGCCGTGTTCCACACCAAAATACACAGTCACTGCACACAACAATAAATCCTGCAGCATGTTTTGAGATGTCTTGATGATATAAGGTGCTCTTATCAAATACATATTTTATTATTATAAAACGTCAGTGGTTCAGAATGAATATACTCTTTTGTGGGTTGGTGAACCCTGTGTTATACTCTATTGTATCTGCACAACAAATGGATATGATGCTCTTCAGAAGAGCACTGTAAAATTAACATTAACTAGTTTCTATCAAGAGCAATTGTGGGTAAGATGAAGGGATCCACCTGGCAGGTATGATTTTTGAACATTACTTCTTCCTGGGGATTTATCAATAGATATTGGTGTACTTATTTTATAAAATAGTAAAATTGTGGAGTCCTGTAGCATAGTGGTTAGAACACTCGCCTCGCAAACAAGAGGATCTGGGTCGATTCCCGGGCAGAGCGAAACTTTAGGCAAGTTTCCTTACTCCACACACCTCTGTTTACCCAGCAGTAAGTAGGAACCCGGCTGTTCGTCGATTGGCAGATCATTTTTCCGGGGTAATAATCCCTTCAAAATAAATAAAGAAAGAAATAACATAATAATTTGGTCACTCAATCCACGACTGTTTGTGGGACGCTGATATAGCGCCTTATCACATCTCGAAGACGTGATAAGGCCTATATCACATGCAAGGATTATTATTATTATTAATTACACAAAATGACCTTACTTGATTTGCCTTTCACTCTATGAATAAGTCGGTTGACGCCTCCCACAAGAGCCACGATCTTTATCAGCGACCAGGTTTTGTGAGGAACGAATCACGTGTGTAACTTTATGTTCTAACCTGGCATCTCAGTGAATTGAGTTAATAATGGATCTAACTGGGGCCCTGGTTAGCAAACCCTCGGAAGTTTTCATTTTGTGTTTTCTGTTAGATTCACCATGTGCCAGATTGTGATGTTCCGTTTATTGTCTGCTTAAAGGTGTTAACCGTGTAATCTCCCTATATCTTGGACACTTGCCCCCCCCCCCCCCCCAATCCCCCAGCCCTCTTCCCCCCCCACCCCACTCCCCCAGTTCCCAGGAAAAAATGAGTGGTCATTGCAAATATTACAGTATAACAGTTGGATAGATTGTCTGTCAGTTCTTTCGCTGACATAATACATCGTAACCCCGAGCTACCATGGTGACATGGCATTCGCAAGAAATCAGACTGCGGTACTTCTATATTTTACATCTTTTTTTCACAGTTGATACACGCCATGTTTGATTTGCAGGTGGAAATGGACTCTGCATCTTGTTCTGAGTAAGTATCCATCCTTGTCATGGGTGCACATGGATTTAAATGGACAGGACAGTTGGTTAGAATAGTTAGTGCGATTTGTTTTCGTGTTCAAGCATGGACGTTGGTTGCACTCTTAAGTTGTGCTCCTGTATTCTCAGTTTGTGTTGAATTAAATTCTTAGGTACTCTGCAGCCAGAGCTGACGCTGTCTTGTTTATTGCTTCCATCCGTTCAAAGTTAGCACAGTTTTATTTTGCTTCCTGAGTGATGTCTAGAACGTAAAAGTATGTCTGCTTATTGGACACGGGCAAGAGAGATGTTACTTCCATTGAAATAAATCTAGAATATTCTCTCGCTGTAACTATTCTGTTTAAAAATCGTTTTCAAAATGAAGTTCCACATCTTTTAAGAGCCAGCCAGCACTTCCTGGTTCGATCAGTGCCTATTTAGTTCCCGAAAACACTTTCAAGAAGAGAAATTATGTTTTCAGTTTTATTATGGCCTAATGTTACCGCAAAAGGGTGAGAGCAAATTCAAACGACATCAATTCTTGTCATAGAGCACAGGTCCTACGTGGATTTTACATGAGTATTCTACACAAGTTAGTTTTATTAAAGCAGCTGATTAACGCACTGAACCAGATTAAACAAGTTTTCTGAAATGGATAGCGCTTCCCTAAATGGTGCTGCGCAAAAAACATAGTAAACTGCGACTTGATAAATTATATTTACACAGCGCCTTTCACGTCGGGAGGACGTCTCAAGGCGCTGGATTGTCAAGGATTTGGATTTGCAGCACATGCTAAAATTGCAAGTTGTGGTTGTAATTGGAGTTGAGGTACAGATCAGCCTTTACAGATCTTATAGAATAGCGGAACAGGCTCAACGGGCTGAATGGCCTCCTCCTGTTTCTAGAGCGTAAATTTGCTGTCTTTAAAATTTGAGCTGTTTTTCTGAAAGCGTTTGGGGTCACCCGCTTCAGTTGACTGTTTGGGGTTGCCGGGACATTTGGTTACAATAGTTAATGGGATTTGTTTCCTTCTTCAAAAAAGCGTGGATAAACGGAGGTTGCACTCTTAATTTGTGGTGTTGGATTCTCAAACTGCAGTTTGTGCTAAGTGAATTTCTTAGGTACACCACAGCTGTAGCTGGGAGCGTAGGAGTTAGATAGATATCAAGTGTAAAGATTATTAATCATCTCTGCGTAGTCCCTCCCTTGCCCTTCTGACTTGCTCCTCGGCCAGAATTTCAACAGAGCGCGTGTCGTCGGTACTTGTGTTTCTATTCTAGCATGGAATCAGGGAATCCTGTGGGAAGTACATTTCTGGCTGTATATGGTGACTGTATGGTGATTTGAATATTAATACTGTCTCTAGCACGTATACTGGCAAAATAGGTCAAAATTGGGGAGGGGGAACACATAGTCCTGTACCTTAGTGGTTAGCACACTCACCTCGCAAGCGAGAGGACCTAGGTTTTATTCCCGGGGCGGGTGAAACACTGGGCAAGTTTCCATACTCCATATGCCTCTGTTTACCTAGCAGTAGGTAGGAATCCAGTTGTTAATCGATCCACGGATCGCTTTTCCGGGAATAATAATCCCTTTTTTAAAAAAAATTAGTCAATCAATGCACAACTGTTTGTGGGACACTGATGTGCACAATTGGCTGCCGTGTGAACAGTCAGTTCACTTTACAGTCTATCATGTGAAGCGCTTTGAGATGTCTCGAAGATGTGAAAAGCGCTATATCAAATGCAAGGGCTATTATTATATTCTTTGAAGCACTTTGAGATGTTTAAAAGATGTGATAAGGCACTACATTAAATGCTAGGATTATTATTATAACAAGTGTTAGATGTTTAGTATGAGGCCTCTCTGAAGGCTCTGTATTCTGTTGTGTTAATTTGTATTAATGTGCAAGCTATTTGGGCATTGCAATTTATTTACAGTTTGATGCTGGTTCTTTGTATGAACATGTGACATCCCTGTGAAAAGTTCAGTCAGTTGGCCTCCATTGGCTATTTGAAGCTACAGTAGCAGTGAAATTATATTTCTCTTTGAAGGCCCTATAAAAACAACAGCTTTGTATTTCTAAAGCACCACATACGAAAATACCCCTATAGCTTCACAGAGATGACATGGGAGCCTGAGCATGGAGGGGGTGTGGTGTTATCGGGAGTGACTAACGTGTAGTTGAAGGTAGTTTTTGTAAAAAGGAAAAGATTTTTGATAGTCAAGAAGCAAGGTATGATAAAAGAATCCTTTCGACCAACAAGTTACAATGATTAAGATTGTGGTTGGTGACGGAGAGGAATTGCTAGGTTTCATGTACAATCATTGTCGATCGCTTCAGAATTGGAAGATATTTGTCTACTTGTACCGTGTTGAAGATTCTCTGTGGGATTCCGGTTTCAATTCTTTTCCCGGGCAGTATTCCGAGATTAAGGGATTGCAATTGGTGAATCTTACAACTTTATTCCTTTCCGGATTTCAAAGACGATGCCTTTTAATTTGAATCAAATATTGGCAAAAATAGCTTTTGGTTTCAGTCACAAACGAGTGAGATGTGATGGTATAATACCTGAAAGTGCTCCGAGACACTGCCTCGCATTTCGCCCACACAATGTACAGTCAATTCACTTTACAGTATATTCTGTGAAGCGCTTTGAGACGTCTCGAAGACGTGATAAGGCGCTATATCAAATGCAAGGATTATTATTATATAAATACAAGTCGTTGTAAAATTTCCTGGTAAAACTAAGCACCCTCTTTAATTGCTTCCCTTGCAGGAGGTGATCGAATTGACTAAGGACTTGCTGTCTAACCAGCCCTCTGTTGCTACAGCCAATGCAGACAGATCGTCAAACTCCCTGCCCAGCCATACATGGAAGATCGGAGACAAGTGCATGGCCATTTGGAGTGAGGATGGACAGTAAGTGTAGAACCATTCTAACAATACATCACATAAGACAGTAACAAATGGTAAGAAATCCTTTAAGATTCATTACTGAGATTTTCCACTGTTTTAACTTAGTAGGACTGGAGTCAAAGGTTCAAAACCATTGTCTTTTCACCAGGAGAGGGTCACTGAAATCCAAGCTTACTGCATACTGCAGGTGCTAGTCACGTAGATTACAGCAAATGTCATTCACATGTTTGACCCTTGATATTTATCTTGGGATTTGTTGCGCTCAATCTAAGACAAGACCAATACACTTACTAGTAACCCAAGGATGTTAACTCAGATGTGACTAAAGCTGCTTCTGCAGGTGTTTTCACAAACTGCCTGTGGTGGGTGCTGTTAAATGTGAGGGTTTGCTTTTTATCGTCCATTCTTTTAGAATTACTCGAGTCACAATACTCTTCCCTGATTACTCTGCTGTGTGTAATTTGGCTGTCGCGTTTCGCCCTCCAAATATAGTCAATTCACTTTACAGAATATTCTGTGAAGCGCTTTGAGACGTCTCAACAACGTGATAAGGCGCTATATCAAATGCAAGGATTGTTATTAATAAATCCTGTACACTGATTTGGAAGTGGGTTGTACACAGATCAGTTTGTACTAGTGAAGAACTTATGACCAGTAACTAGTTTCTCTATGGATCCAGAAAATCCAGCTAAACCTTTCATTTTGCCATTTCAATTTCACAAGTGCAAGTTAAACGGACTTCACCTTGACTACAGAACAACAGTCCTTCTAGATCATAGTAACTAATGTTGTGTCTATATTCATTCTATTTATGGTTCTGTCAGGCAAATCTTACCTCCACTCCCACCTGTCTGCAAGTACAATAAATTTTATTGAGCTAGTGGATGGAAGATTAGTTCATAGTAAATAACAGTTTAGAAACCGGAACGATGATATGAGCATTATTTTATAATTGCAGACTAAATTAAAACAATCTTATGAAGTTTGGTGATGACACTATCCCCTCCCCCCACCCATTATTTGTACAACTTGTGGATGAAATTGGTTTTATTTTCCATTTATGCTGTAGAAGTTAATATGAGGTGTTAACCTGACTCAGTGGTAGCGCTCTCACCTCTTGAGTCAGAAGGTTGTGGGTTCCAGCCTCACATCAGGACTTGGAATCACACAGTCTAAGCTGATGCACCAATACAGTGCATGGTCAGGGGTGCCGTCCATCGGATGAGAAGTGAAAACGAGGTCGCGTCTGCCTGTTCAGGTGGACGTTAAAGATCCCACAGCACTATGCGAAAAGAGAAAGCCGTTTCTCCCGGTGTCCTGGCCAACAATTCCCCCCAAATAAAATTGGCCACTCACTCCACGGTTGTTAGTGGGACACTGCTCTGCCCAATTGGCTGCTGTGTTTCGCCCACAAGATGCACAGTCAATCCACTTTACAGTATATCCTGTGATACGCTTTGACGTGATAAGACGCTATACCAAATGCAAGGATGATTATTATTATTACTACTATTATTAGGGACTGAGTGTCAAACCTCTACTCACATGCTTACAGCCCTAACTACCTTGCAGATTGTACGAAGCGGAGATCGAAGAGATTGACCAGGAGAACGGTACTGGAGCCATCACCTTTGCTGGATACGGGAACGCAGACGTTGTCCCTTTGGTCAACCTGAAACCTGTGGAAGATGGAAATGATTCTGAGGAGCTGGGTAGCGACAAACCCAAATCAAAGTGAGTGCGATAACTTTCTACTAATGCTTTTTTTTAAAAAACTTGATGAATATGAAACAAAATTCTAGTCCTATGATTATGGGTTGGTGACAGCACAAGGTTATTTGGCCCATCGGTTTGCACTATTCCCCCTTCCCCATGTGAGCAACTAATCTAATCCCACTTTCATGTTCACTCCTGATATACCCTTTGTTCCTCTATGTCAGCTGTACAAAATGGGCCATTATTATCATCTACCAAATGTACCAAGTCACAGTTTACTTACGGCTCTTTACTTACCTGTGCCTCTTGGCAGAAAGGAAATGGTTGCCCAGCAGAGAGAGTACAAGAAGAAGAAAGCGCTAAAAAAGGCTCAGAGAATGAAGGAGCTTGAACAGGAGCGAGAGGAACAGAAAGTCAAATGGCAGCAGTTTAACAACAGAGCCTATTCCAAGAACAAAAAAGGACAGGTCTGTATAATGCACTGAAATGAGTTTATCCAGCTGCGGGTTGGCCTGTTGTAGTTTTGAAGATTCCCTTTTGCTAAAAGAAATGCCTTTGACCATTTTTGCCAGGCCGGGCCTGCACTGGTGGTTTTGGGGACGTTCTTTCTTTCCTCCCCATACTTTCCTTTGACTTTGCAGTTGATCTGTGGTTTTTCTGTCGTTCATCTGTGTTTACAATATGTTAGTATTTCAAGTCGCTTCTTGCTGACAGAATGGTGTCGGAACAAGAATGATCTCTTGCTGCTGTGTCTGTCAGCTGCTGCTGTGAATTTAGACAGAACAAGTGACTTTCTCACCTGGCAGACAATAACGTTGCTTGATGAGCACTGGAAGCTGGAGTGGAGCTCGGACTGAATGGAAATTTAGTAGAGGATCAGAGTGATGATGCCCTGTTCTGGCATTCAGTACCTTTGTTGCCTTTGTCCTGTTTCCATCCGAGTATCAGCAGTTCTAATTAAGTTCTTGGCTGCAGCAGCGAAGACGAGGTACAGAATGCACAATGAAAGTGACCCACACAATGTGTTAATATTGCTAATGGATTTATCATCCTATTTGGAGTCTGATTTCTGGTCTTATTTCATTTTTCTCTTCAAGGTAAAGAAGAGCATTTTTGCTTCACCGGAGAGTGTGACTGGCAAGGTTGGAGTTGGCACGTGTGGAATAGCAGACAGACCAATGACTCAGTACCAAGACACATCCAAATACAACGTCAGGCACCTTATGCCCCAGTAACTAACATCTGTATAATGTATTTCCACGACTTGCATTTCCTTTGTCATTTTCTTTTGTTGTCATTAGTGCAGTTTTGGGCAGATTCACTTGGTGCATTAGCACAATGGAAGTCAGCTGTATCTGTGTGTATGTGTGTGTCTGTGTGGGTGATATTCATAAGCGAGAGAGGTAATTAATGTGTATAGTTAGTGTCCCATTACTGAGGAAAGGTGAAGGAGGATTTGATAACATGAGCTTCCTATTTGAGGAAAAGTGTAATTTTTACAAAATGAACGTGGTGTTTTTTTTCTTCTGTTTTTGTATGTATAATTGGGCAGTTTTAACAAATTAAAAATAAAATGAAATCATTTGTCTAGCTGTTTTGTTTAAAAATAATAATAATCCTTGTATTTGATATAGCGCCTTAAGGCATTGAGATGTCTCAACGCGCTTCACAGAATATAGTGTAGGAAATAATTGGTGGAATACAATGAATTCCATGGAATGCGGGATGTGTGTTTTGTTTTCTGAACTAAGAGGTAATGAAGTGTATCCTGAAGAATTCTGGCTCTCACTGGCTTTAGAGCAACATTGGTAGAAACCAGAGAGCTGATATTTTCCCTCTCCAATTTCCTTTGGTTCCATTGCTGTAAGTAACGGAGAAATGAAGCTTTTTACTGCTTCGGAAAATGGCATTCATATGTGAAATTCTCTTCAGCTTTGACTGAATGTGGTGTGAACTTATACTTCCACTGCCCCAATTTCCATAGATCAGTCTAAAATTCCCTTTTCTTGAATTTCAAATGCACATAATATCCAAATTTGAGTTTGGTACCCATTTAAGTACGTGTTAAAACCCTACAACTGGTTTGACAGGTTTACAAATTCTCATTTTAAAGATGACTACAATTTTCTCCAATATTGAGTGGAAATAATTTCTTATTTTCTAGTATAATGAATGCAGCAACCTTTATGATAGCCAAATGATATAGATTTGGGGGAGTAACGAAGTAAAGGGCACATTATGAAACTCAGAATTTCACAAAATGATATTTTATTTTGTTTTATACAAGAGGTAAAATAAGAGATTATCTACAAACACAAAGATAAAGCAACTTTGAAAAATATGGGAGTAGCATAGGGAACAAATGTGTTACTTGTTTGAACCAGCACCATCTCAATCTTTACACACAAACACATTAGGTATTCACACTGAACAGACGAGCCTATCCCCTTTATAAAGTTTTTTTTTCTCTCCCCCACACTGCATTCCCTTGTACTGCATTTTACCTAGACTTGCTACAAGTCTTATTTTTATAACATGTACTGTGTGATTTAGGCTGAGTGATCAAATTAAATAATCCAATATGTAAATTATAAATAGCACCTGCACTGCAGGAACAGTGCCATTCAGTTTGTACTATCACAGTGAACAATGTAGTAAATGATGCTGTTCATTTCAAGTGATGTTTAAGATGCTGTAGATGCCTATGTGAACACAGCCGTTCATGTTAATGGGTAAACTCAAGCACCATCCCTTTCCATTTTCTGACAGCCTGGAAGGGACTTGATCAGCACCAGTTTATGGCCAAATATTGCTAGGCTGTTACACGTGACATGGCCCTTGCAAAAGGGTTAGAGTACAAGAGTAGGGAAGTCTTGCTGCAGTTGTATAAGGCCTTGGTGGTGAGACCGCACCTAGAATGTTGTGTGCAGTTTTGGTCTCCTTATTTAAAAAAGGATATACTCGCCTTAGAGGGGATGCAGCGTAGATTCATTAGGTTGGTTCCTGGGATGAGGGGACTGACCTATGAGGATAGGTTGAGTAAACTAGGCCTATATTCTCTAGAATATAGAAGAATTAGAGGTGATCTTATAGAAACCAATAAGATTCTTAAGGGTCGTGACAGAGTCGATGCCGTGAAACTGTTTCCCCTGGTTAGAGAATCTATAACTAGGGGTCATAGTCTCAAGATTAAGGGTCAGCCTTTTCGAACTGAGTTGAGGAAACATTTCTTCACTCAGAGGGTAGTGAATTTGTGGAATTCTCTACCCCAGAAGGCTGTGGATGCTCAGTCCTTGAACAAATTCAAGACTGAAGTTGAGATTTCTAAAGGATAGAGGGATTAAGGGATATGGGGATAGGGCGGATAAATGGAATTAGGTTAAAAGATCAGCCATGATCTTATTAAATGGCGAGGCAGGCTCAAGGGACCGAATGGCCTACTCCTGCTCCTACGTCTTATGGCCAATTTATTAAATGTGAAAAGGGGAAAGCTTCAAAAATGTAGATACTACTATTTGAATAAGTAATAGGTTAAAGTTTTAGCTCAATTGCCATGGTGTATATAAACTACAACATTCAAATACCCTCATTACAGAGATAAAAGCCATGTGTAGTCTGTTAGCCATCTTAATCATAAATGCCATTAAAAAAGATGTTAAACAAAAGCAAGAATTGTTTTTATAGAAGTATAGTAGTAAATTGGCAGGTCAGGGTAGTTAGGCACAGTAATTTAGCTAGGATAATACCATTAACCTGAGAGGTACAATCAGAAGGAATATGAGAATTTAAAAAAAGGTAAAAGCAATTTCATTGTGTACATGTACGATGTTGATAAATCATTTTTTTTCCTCCCGAGGTGGAATTCACATTTATAGTATTTAAAACCCATTTAATTTGCTGTGCATTTTATGCATAGATGGAGGTTTAGGCCACTTTACCAAGATGAACAAGTCCTATTTTTTATAATCTGGAAGGGGAAAAGCTCTAAAGTTTTAGTTGATTGGAACAAGAGGCAATGCACTATTCAGTCAAGAGCTGGAATACCCAAATTAATCAAATCCAAAGTCAAATGTCAATTGGTTTTAGTATGTTTGAAAGAAAACTGTTGCAAAATAACTCCCACAATATTCATCAGGCTTACAAACTATTAAAAAATTACAAGGGTGCACATTAACCATTATTCGTAGTTTCATACTCTTAACTACATGAATTCCTAACATTGAAAATAAATTTAAGTCACGCCTGTATTTCTATTTAATAGATTGTAAGGATTGTTGGCAGAATACATACTCTAGATGGCAGCACTGGCAAGTTAAGTGTGCTAAACAGCACAATGAAGAAATACTAAGTATTATTTGCTGGTTCTAGTTACAAGACACATTGAATCAGGGGCAACTATAAACCAGGAAATTCAAGCTGAAGATAGATCATTGTACATCAGACATAATAAAAAATAATCCTTGCATTTGATACAGCACCTTATGACATCTTCGACATGTCTCAAAGCGCTTCACAGGATATAAAGTAAAGTGAATTGACTGTATTTTGTGGGCGAAACACAGCAGCCATTTGCGCATAGCAGTGTCCCACAAACAGTCGTGGAGTGAATGACCAAATTGATTCTTATTTTTCTTTTAACCCCGGAAAGCGATCTGTCAATCAACTAACAACCGAGTTCCTGCTTGGTAAACAGGAAAAATACCTGAAGCAATATACTGATGTTAATACGATGCTGTCAGCAACAGAGCAGGGCTTTCTGTGGTCAATACATTCCTGCTCGCATCAGTTTATATAATAACAAAATTTGAAGCTGCAACTTGTGATGAGAGCGAGAGAAAGAAACTTTACCAAAGAGTGCGGTTAATATAATATAATTTCTGCATGGTCAAACTCAAAACTATTCATGGTGGGTTAATTGAGTAGAGATATAAATATAGCATCAATTACAGATGGCAAAGACAAATTTATTCTCAACGAATAAATCAGAACGTTTGAGGGCTCACTGACTACAGAACAACTTCATTGCATAATTGCGCAAGTTGTGTCCAGGCCTGTGGTTAGGAGAATTCTGGTAGAAAACTTGTACAGTATTAAACTGCACAGACTGTGGGCAGGGCCATCTGTTCAACTAGAAAAAACAATCTTCCCCGAAAGCACTCACTCAAGCAGAAAAAATATAGAATTAAGATTCGCAAAGCATATGATTAATATGATCCAATTGGTATAACCCAAGTTCGCATATCACATGGGCATCAAATTCACAGGTTAGTACTGCTGACAAACGATAGTTTACCACTCTGCCTTTTTTGCTCCCACAGGCTGATCAATTGAAGTAATTGTACAGATATACTTCAACTGAAACCACAACTGAGGCTCACAAGTAATAATATTCCTAATTTCTAATCAATTACTTGCTGTTACTGCTGGTAAATTTTGTGTAGGTAAATCACTTTCCCGCATACTGCAATTTATACTGTTATAGCCTGAGTATTTATTTATTCTCTGCAATAATCACAGTGATCTTGTTCCAATTTAAAGAAATGTTTTGCCATTGGGTACCGTTGTGAAAATAGTTGTTTTGAGCCTTTGTGTTAATCTACGACTGTCCAAGACCTTTATATTCCCTTTTCTTCCGCAACATGTTCCAAATTCCAACACTTAAAAGAGTTAAATGTCGCCCATGATTCATTGTCGCACCTAAACTGAAGATACATAGTGCCTACCTACAGCAGGTAAACCACTCTATCCAGATACTGAGTTTGCATATTGTCAAAACAGGTAGCTGCTGCAGTTGGATAAAGTATAAGGATCCACTCTACCATAATTGAATGTTCCACTTTCAAACCTGTTCAGTCACATTACTAACTGGAAAAATACTGTCGTCAAACCTCATTAGCAAGACCCTGGATCTGCCAGCCCTGGCAAACATCCGATACGTTAAGAGGATTATCATTCAACCTCATTGTAAAAAGCTTGGATGATAACCGGCTTGCCCAGGGAACTGTTGCTAATGCGGTTGATTTCAATGACCTTGGCAAAGAGAAAGTAAGAACCATGGAACCTATTAAGAAATGGGATTTTGGTCATCATTGTGATCAGATTCTCCTCATATCTGCAGAATAAAGGTGACAAAGTGTGACCTGAAAGGGAATACACAAGAAATGTCTTGGTCTATCAGAATGTACCCATCAGACAGTCACAGGGTTCTGTAGCTGAGTTCTTGAAAAGCTGCCTTTTGTTTTACATTCAGGTATCGCTCACTTAGAAAAGTAGCAAAGACGGAAAGAATTTTAAAAATGTGAGCGTGTTACAGTGTGTTACAAAGCTACCAGCTCTGTGTATTGGCCACATGAGCTCATTAACAGGTAATTAGACCAAAGAAGGGCTGGTAAAAACAACGAGGACACAATTTAAACAGCCTGTCCCAAATTTTGCAATTATAGTGTTTCCAATTAACTAACTACATAGCACCAGAATTCAGTTATTGTCTGTCTTAAAATTAAATGTTTTCACTTAACTGAAAAGAGAACAAATTATTATCTGTCAGAGGATCATTAAAATGTTCAGCTTTTTTGGCTTTTTTTCATGGCTTCAGTTGAGAAATCCATGGAAAACACACACACACAGTAGGTAAATGTCTTGCCTTTAGTGCAAATCAACAAATGTATTTCAGCAACACAGCGTTTATAAAAATGTATACAGGTACAGTGAAAACTGCACTGTCATAATTTCATAATAATCTTTCCTTAACATGGCAAAGAGATGTATTCGAGATGAGCATCCATATTGGTTCAAAGTTCAAATTTATATCTGAATTCATCAGATCTCTGAAATGATCCACAGAAGACAAATCCTGAAAAATCCAAGCTGTTCCAATTTAGACTTGGAGATGATTTTAGAATGCATCCCAAACAGGTGAGAGATACACTTCCTATTTTCGATGTGACTCCCAAGAGAAGAAATGGGTTCCAAGCCCAATTAATTGGAAGTCAACAATTAAGATATGAAATCGAAGAGCCTCGATCGTAGTTGTTTGATTAAAATAGAAATCAAAGGCTTAAAAGAGTTTGTTACAAATGAAATATAAAACCTTTATTTTGTGGAACAAATATCAATTCCCAAAGGTTTTAGACTCGGACTGGGCTTTCGGGTAAAGCAGTAAGTTTTAAAATGAATATTCTCATCAAGAAATTCACTAACCTCAGGGTCAGGTCATCGCACATTGGAAATAAAAGAGCTAAAGAGCTTTGAGTGCTTTAATAAAAGTGTACTAAAAACTTTCCTTGAAAATAGCAAAAGCTGGATATATCTGGGTAAAACTATAGCTAAGCTGGAGAAAAGGTACAGTTCAAACAAGGACAGACGTCTCCCAATGGTCTCTAGTGGCCTCTTAAGCTTCAGTTTAAAATATATATATATATATATATATATACTATATCCACCGTTTGTTAATGTTGCTGTAGTTGTGGGTATGACCACATCATCATTAATACTTTTCCTTGGTCTCAAACTTTCTCTAAAGCTGCAATATGCACAGTTGAAACAAGTATCATAGAATTACACAGCACAGAAGGAGGCCATTTGGCCCATCGTGTCTGTGCTGGCTCTTTTGAAAGAGTTATCCGCATCAATTCCACTCCTTCGCTCTCTCCTCATAGCTCTGCAAACTTGTCGTCCCCAAATAATTATCTAGGTATTACCCTTTAAGTTTCTGGCCCTGACAAACTAAATCAATAGCTTCCCTGGTTCAGGGCTTCAAGACAATGCTGGTGAGGAGTGGGCTTTGGGATCACCCTTGCTAATAATCAGGCTAGTTTAATACAGAACCATGGTGTGGAAGGAAAAGAAAATCAAAGTTAACGATCAAACTATTTAACTTGCACTGAATACAGACAGGGGCACCGATAACAGAAACTTAATTTCACAACAACACAATGCACAACTTAGAAGGCACAACATTAAAACAAACAACAATTTTTTTTAACAACTCAAAAGGAGAAAAGAGACCGTCCCTGAGATTTAGCTTCATAACATGTGGAGAATCAAAGGGACTGAGAGACTTTTTGATTCTTGCACAGCAAATAACAATTGGCCATAAGTTACTGATTTACTAAAATGTTCTTCAATCTCGATTTGGGCTAGTTAAATTATGAAAGTAAACAGACTTTTAGACAATCTTGTTGGTGAGATCTCCACAAAGGGAAAATCTCTGCGGTTTTATACAAGAAAACAAGCAAGACCTCCAAGTGCAAGATTAGAAAGAGTAGTTGTGAGCTTCCGACAGGCATTGCTTAATCACATCAGATCTCTGGGCTACACAACAAGGTGCAATCCATTCTCCAGCTTAAAAAGTGCAAAAAAAAAGTTTTTTTAAAAAATAAAAAGGCTTGTATTTTACAATTGAATTGACACTGAGGGATTATCTGCAGATACATAAAGACCAACCGAATATTGGTCACAATGTGTACCCACAATATTATGTACTTTGTGCTGTGTTCCTCAAAGTAAAGCTGATTTATCTCAGTATGGGATTGGTGCCTTGTGCATGAGATTTGTAGTACAAGCACATGTCCTTAACCTATTTCTTTTCTCAAGAGTCCAAAGCTAAAGTAGCTTGTCATAATGTGATCCCTCAGACATATCTGATCTGTAGATAGCTTCTGGATTGCCCTGATCTATATTGATGAGGACAGCTTTACACTGGAGCTAGAGTAACCTTCATCACTGCCAACACTTTGGAGGCTGCTGTGGTCATCAAGGTCACTGATGCTGGCAGTGCTAATATTGTCCACGTCTCCATGGGAGAACTCAGTGCTCTCAACATCCACCTCAATCTCTTCTGAAAACAAGCAAATGCAAGAATTGTTAGTACCTCACCAGAAAACAAAAGGCACACTGGCACTGATATCTTTATTTATACCCAGATAACTGACAATCCTTTTAGCTCTTTGTTTCTGGTCTGATATGTTTGCATCACCAGGTTACATCACTAAAACCATATGGGTTTTTTGGTGGGGCGGGGGGAAGGGAGGGGGAAGAGGAAAGAATGGTTGCTAAGAGCAAATAATTAATGATTATAGGTGAAATAAGAATTTTTTCAGACTCATGATTAATTCCTTTCTACAGTGATTATTGGGTGCAGTTATGTGCCTGACAATCAAATGCAACAACAATAATAGCAGCAACAAATTGCATTTATGTAGCACCTTTCATGTTGGGAAGGATGTCCCAAGGCGCTGGACAGTGAAGGCTTTGCACCTGGGCTGGGGGTTAGAATCAAGAGGATAGAGGGCAAGGGGGTTGGGAAGATAACCAAAGGCATGGTTGAAGAGGAAAGTCTTGAGATGGGCCTTGAAGGAGGCAAGGGAGCGGGCAAGGCAGCCTGGCTCCAGGTTGGAGTTTCAAGGGTGGGGCAGAAAGGCTGAAGGCCCGACTGCCGATAGTAGAGCAGAAGGTTGGGAAGGGTTTAGTAGGTCGCAGGGGTAGGGAGGAGCAAATGTACCGATAATCCTGGCATTGTTTCAGGGAATGTATCCTTCCTAGACCTACTAAAACATTTATGATCTTTATCTCCTTTATATTAATCTCATCACACCATAGATTATGCTGATCATGATGATGAGGCAGGATTATCATGGGTTTATCATGAAAACTGTCAATGTACCACATCACCTCAATTCCGCAAATATTGCTGGTGGAAGTTAGATAATGAGATCTTACCTCGTTCTGAATCAGAACGATCCGAGAAGACAGTGGAGTCTACGCTGTCTGTTCGTATTCGTTCATTCTCTGGTGAATCCTCTAGCTGTTCCAGCCTTCTTTTTAGAAAGCGATGTTCGCGCTTCAGATGGTCTATCTGGTAGAGTGACTTTCTGTCCAGCTCTTCAAGTTTCTGAAATGGGAGGAAAACATCAACAAACCCATTGATGTGCTGGCCATATCGGAAAGCCTGGTTATTGTCTTTTCATTTGGCCGTTATTTAGCCACTGACCCCGGAGTGTGGTGAAGAAATGCAAATAGCACAGTGCTGCTCTGTTTATGTGTGCTGGTCTTTCAACAAACTGGTTCAGTACAACACACAACAACTGATGCCAGTGTAGACATGGAGATTCTTGAGGCCTCCAGGATCTCCAGTTTATCTTGTGGTGCTGAAGTTGAGAGCAGAGCTGTTCCTACCAGCAGCATTATAAGGCAAATATAACCACCAAGTTCCAGGACCCCACAGTTAATGTCACAGGGTGCTGAATTTTGATGGGTGGAATCCTGTAGCTTAGTGGATAGAATACTCGCCTTGCAAGTATTTTGCCCTCACAGGCAGGGCAAAACGAAGGGCAAGTTTCGTTACTCCACACACCTCTGTTTGCCTAGCAGTAAGTAGGAATCCCGTTGTTGTTGATCGCTTTTCCGGGGATAATAATCCCTTCAAAAAAACACTAATAATAATTTGGTCACTCAATCTATGACTACTTGTGGGACACTGCTGTGCACAATTGGCTGCCACGTTGAATAATGATTTATTATTCAAATAATGATCCCCAGTGATTTTACCTCAATTACTTGCTCTTCTAGGGAATTAACGTACCATTGCAACATTAAAATTTGTAAGTTCTCAAAATGTATCAGTACCTGTCATGGGGAAATACAATGTACTTATTGACTTACCTTAATATGTGCTTTGGCCTTGTTGAGTAAACCAAGTGTAGTATGCCTGGTACTCTCTGATTCCAGTGGTATAAGTTCTTTCAATCGTTCCAAGCAGAGACGAAGGTGTGCTCGTCTAGAACACAAAACACAGAAAGAGATCATATTCCCTATTCTAGCCAAAAAACATTAGACCTGAAATAAACATACATACAAAAAATATAGTGGCTGTCCAATGTGATTTGAATATTTTGTGAATAATTGAATGATTTTATGGAATACTAAACATCATGAAATTGACAGCAGAGTATTTCACAATAAGAACTTTCTCAATGAACCTAGTGATGATTTCACAAACTCTCAATCCCTGTGGGCACATCACCAAACATGATAACTATGGAGTACTTTGTTATGCTTAATAGCAATCATTACAATGAGAAAAACAGACTAAATACTGAATAAAAGCCTAACCCACATAAAAATAACTGTGCAGTTTGGAACATGACATGTCAAGCGACTGCCAGGAAGGTGGAAAGCGAACTAGATGGATCTTGGTCTTCTTTCACCTAGGAAATTCTTATGTTCTTAACTTCACTTTCGTGGTTTGTGATACCATCACAACTTGTTGATTAAGTCAGCCTTGGGATTTACTCTCAAACATGTATGGCCCACTAGCTATTTTTTTTGGCCTTGTACTAATTGAAATTTTAAGTCCAAAGAATTAAAATGTCTTCTAAACAGCTTTTCAGCACTTTGCGATGCTGCTGATTGTGAAAGGAGCTATATGAATGCAAGTTGTTGTCTTAAACGTACGTTAAAAAAGCTATCTAATAATTATAAATAACTTTGAAGCAAATCAGAAATACAATTCAAAAGACCCGTCTTTCGTGGAATACACGTTATTAAAGTTTAATACACTCAGAACATCTATGAAGTGCCGTGCTTCAAACGTGGGTGAAAAGTAATAAAATCATGAACTTAGGTGGTGTGCATTTAGGGAGCCTAATAACTTTACAAGACATCAAACTTTGTTTGACTGAAGAAACCAGTGTGATTGCAGTACTATACCTGATGACTAGGTCAAGATCAGCCAGCTCAGCATATTGCTGAGCACACAGCGAATTGGGACATCCTCCCGATGTGAAAGGCAGATGTCATTTTGTATTTGTGGTTTCTATTTAAATCTTCTTACATCTTCCCTGTACTGAAGTGCTCTGAGATGCAGCCCCGCAAGAAGCGCCCTGTATAAATGCAGGTTGTTGTTGTTTCCAATTTAGTGAAGTTAGAATAAAGCAGAATAGAACTTGTACACTAGACTTGCGTTTCTGTCCATAATAATTCACATGCCGCTGAGATGTTAAATACGGATCAGATGAAGAAAAAGGGGACACAGGAATAGTGTTAAATGAGGTCTCACTTTTAAAATATTACGCTGATCATTGAAAGAAACTGCATAAGGCGTACTGAAGAAAGGCATCAAAGCTGGCCTTCATTAAAACCAGATTGAATTCCACCACAACCATATACCAATACCTACGAGTTTGTGCAGTAATGTCAGCTGTACACCCATCTTAAATCTGCACTCAGCAGCATCCTTGTAAATATATGATGCAAAACTTGTACTTTTACTATATTTTAATCAAAACTAACCTAAATTCAAAAAAAGTTAAGACTTTAGTTCCCTTGTGCAATGGGTACTGCAGATCGACTTGAAAAAGTGTTCTGCTGAAGCATTGTGACTATATGTATTGATCAATTCTTCTGGGGCTCATTCGTAACTTGTGCTGAGTTTAAAAAGGTCATTTCGTGACAATGTGCTTAAAGTACAACTGCAATACAAATTAAATTATTAATCATTAATTACTTCCAATTAAATTTCTTGGAAGTTTTGTGTTAACACTACAGTTTGGGCCAGTAATAAAGCCTCTTGGCCTTGAGGCTACATTTGTTACAATGGGGCCTGCAGCTAAAATATGGTCTTTTGTCTTACATCCAACCTATATCTTCTTCAACCAACCACAATTTCAGTGTTGTTGTTCCAACAAAGCAAAGCTTCAAGGTAAACATCAATTAGGATTGTGCTGGGAAATTTTTCCATTAAACTTTTCATATTTAGGCTTTATTGGTAATACAGTTCTTCCATTTGATTATTAGAAAAACAAGAACAAAATTATATAATCCACCCAGATTAGCCATTATTTAGGTCTGACACAGAGAACTCAATGCCAAATCTGCCTCCTTTCTTTTCACGATTTAAATTACTTTAGTCATATCCTACCTCACTGCCAAATCCACTTAATACAGAAATACAGAATCAAAAATATAAGATCATTCTCAGGGTCACAAAACAGGAAACCTGGCAACATGTTACTACTTCCCTATCATCCACTCAGTGATGCCTGTTTAATACACAGCAGGGTGATTGGATTCAGAAACATGTGTTCCAACATGTTTTTACGAGCAAGGATCAGACTATAATCTGCTTTTAAAGTCAAGACGAGGGTAGCTTGCAGGCCACGGGATCATGTTGTACTAATGACCCCCACCTCCTCTTACAAGTATTACATTTGCAATTAACCATTTGATTACAATTTCTCAGAAACTTTCAGAATACACAATTCAGCAGAGAACTACGATTATTTTGTGAACTTGGAATGTACAATATTATGTGGCTAATATTAGGAAAATAGAAAGAATCACTCAATAGGTTTAAAAGGCAGCCTTTGAAAACCTGGTTTCCGGTCCTAATTGTGATTTACATTTTGCAAACTAAATTTGGAACCTTTGTCTGTCAAGGACAGTCCCAAAAGCAAAACGACAACTTTCAGTTGGGTTTTGCTTGAGCACCGTTTCTTGGCTGGGAAAGGCTTAGAATGTCCAACAAAAGATCTAAAATAAAAATGTCGGTCACAAAATGGTGGTTGAGGTTATTAGCAACACAAGAACTAGACAATTTAGTTTGGTCAACTGTCCTGATGTGAATGTGAAGATGATAATTTTACACACACGCAGGCATACCACAGCCAATCCTACAGAAATCTATCACAACATAGATCAATTCTGAATTAGAACCTACTCTAAATGCGCTAATCAACACTTATTTACGTAAAGCTTTTAAATTTTACAATAATTGTTTTTTAAGAGTGTTCAGTTGTAGACTAAACTAAATGTTCTGAATGACTTTCATCATTCTTTAGAATAACAACACACCCTACTAAGTACCCTTCTCTTCCTTGGGTCTCCCCACATTATGCATTATACTCAACCAAAAAAAAACTGTCAAATAAACTGGTCCCTGGCTCTAATAAGGCTGGCCACTTGGAGGAGCACAAGAGTTTCTGGTCTTGCAGATTTTCAAAAGAACTTCAAAACATTGCAAACCTACTACTCAGTATTTTTTCAACAGTTAATGAATTTGCACGGTTAGCTGAAATGCAACGCATCCACTTGAGGGTGTCTGTCCTCTGTAAGCAAAGAGGAAGGAGACTGTACAAGGTCAACGGGAAACAAAAGGTTGCAAAAACAACTATTTTAAAGGAAAGTAAGCTATCAATGCATGTCTTAGAAAACAAGAGTTGTAAATATAATGCTTATTTAGGGGGTATCTTATTTTCTCCCTTTTCCCCATCAGTTCACAAACTGCAAGTAGGCCAAACTAATGCTTAAAAGGCGTGGGTCCTGTAGCTCAGTGGTTAGAGTACTCGCTTTGCAAGCGAGAGCCTGAGTTTGATTCCCGGCAGAGCGAAACCTCGGGCAAGTTTCCTTACTCAACATGCCTGATAATAATGCCTCAAGAAAAAAANCACAATAATAAATTAGTCACTTCAATCCACAACTGTTTGTGGGACACTGCTGTGCGCAATTGGCTGCCGCATTTTGCCCACCAATATAGTCAATTCACTTTACAGTCTGTGAAACGCTTTGAGACGTCCAGAAGACGTGAAAAACGCTATATCAAATGCAAGGATTGTTATTATAAGTCCCATTACCTCTGTATCAGAACATTGTGGATTGCAGTTTCACACTGTGGCAAATTGGAAGAGTACATAAACTCCAGAAGATGCAAAGGCAAGGATGAGCAAGATCATGACAGGATATGAAGATCAACACGAGGATCTTCAAGGTGACCCACTAACCACTTACTGAGGCGTGGCATCACCCACAGCTCATTTTGCTGATCTTAAGGGCCTTGGAGAAAACAACTTGCATACAAAATACATTCAATACACTTTACAGTACATCCTGCGAATAGCTTTGAGACATCCTCCTGATGTGAAAAATGCTACATCAAATGCAAGGATTATTATGATACTATTATTCCATGTGTTGATAGCACATTTTTCATCTCAAGTTGTTCCGGTCTATTGAAATATCCACTTTAAAAGTTCAGTCGAAATGATATAGCTTCGGTTTCTTTTATGTTTTCCACCACAAGTACCACATCAAAATTCTCAAAAAAGGTTAAGTTAGTAATTCATCTCATTACATTTGGTGGGGCTTTGCTGCTACATCTCGCTCTAATAACAACAGTCATTGCACTTCAAAGTAACTCACTGTTAAGTGCTTTATGGTGTTTTGAAATAAGACATTATGTTAAATGATAGAAATTTCAAAGAGCAAGTTTATGGTTTGGAAAGACTTTTGTTCTTAAATCATGGATTAAAAACAGTCCATATTTAACAACCAAAATACAGTCAAGACAAAGCATGTTTACTTAGGAACCCAAGAAACAACACTGCAGAATATCTATCATAGCATAATTTAATGTTGAGCGTGTCTTGGTTTCATCTACAAATACGTCTTCTTGTGAAAGAATCATTTTGTAAGGAAATAGAGAAACTATTTGTACATCGCAACCTTACTATTAAATCAAATACATCACACTGCATGAGTGGCAAGAGACACCGTCACAGAGAATTCATTTTACTGGTTTTAAGGGCCTCTGGGAGACAAATGTGCGTATTGTTGATAGCATATTTTTCACCCCATTTTCTTCTGATCTACTGAAATACCCACTTTAAGAGTTAAAAAAGGAAGCGATATAGGTTCGATTTCTTGTATTTTTCACCACAAGAACCACATCCTGGAAATGACAGAACACTTCTGAGGTGCTGAGCTAAATTTTCTCAGTAACTG